GTGCTGTCCTCTGAAGTAAATTTTTCTGTGGGGAGGGGCGGCTGTCCACGTAGTTGGGATTGGTGCCGGCCCCTCAGACCTTTCTACTGGTTTCCCGCCAGCATGTTGCATTCACATCCTAGAGCACCGGGTTGAAGTCTGGTCCCTCTTTCCCTGTGGAGATATAAACAATACCCTCCCCTTGGGTGGGTTACACTGATTTGACTTTTATTTTGCCCTGATGAGGCTGGTGGCTTAGTGATTACACCTTCGGCTGTGATCTGAAAGGTCAGCAGTTCAAAACCACCAACCGCTCTGGGGCAGGGGGAGAAAGAAGGAGCTTTCTACTCCTATAAACAGTCACAGTCTGGGAAACTCACAGGGGTAAGTTCTACCCTATAAGGGCTGATATGAGTCAGCATTAACTCTATGGCAGTGACATTTCTGTGTGTGTGTGAGTTGAAGGCCAAGACAAGCATCCTCCTGAGAGAGCTAGTTTGCAGCCATCCACTGATATGTTTAAACATGTTTTGTTTGGAATCAAGCAGTGCATGGATGAACTGAGTCCCATATTTCTTGTGCAATTCTTCCAGTTTTGCATAAAAATATGGATTATTAAACAGCCTCACCCCCAAGTCTTTTCACCCTCTGTCCACCCTTGCTTTTCCCCAGCGGGGTCTTTCCACTTTAGGGCATAGAGAGGCCCTGCATCTCATCTGCTGTTACAGGGCAGTCAATTCCCAGGCAGCTCCATGATTTATTTAGCCAGTCTCCTATTGACATCTGGGTCCTTCCTAAGCATTTACTGTTAGACACATTGCTTTATCAATTATTGAGTTTGCCTAGGTGCAAATGTTCAGTAGATAGTGAAGGGATATCATTGGGAATGGGTGCAAGCAGAGGGTGCAGTATGCATGACCTGGGTCCTCCAGGGGATCTCTGGGGTGACCCAGAGATAGGATTCCTGTCCCTTTCCTCTTGAGAGACAGCTCTTTTCTTGGAAGCAAAGGTGACCAAAGGAAGGAATTACAGGGTAATTTAGGAAATGTGATCATGATCCTCCCTAAGGGTGATTCCCAGCAAACCCAGACATCAAGCCCTCGGGGACTACAGCAAGGACAAATCTCATAGGTTTGCTTCTGTCACCTGCTCGCTATGAGGCTTCTCTCTGGGTCTCAGTGTCCCCTTCTGTAAAATGGGCTAGGAACTTGGGCAGCTCAATGAGATCTCAAAGGACCTGTCTGGTTCCAACCAATCACCATGATCCACCTTCTCCCTCCATTATCCAGGCTCGGCCTTTCTGAGCTGTGAAATTCACCTGGATTCCCTCATCACAAACTCTTGCTATAACAGCCCCTAGTCTGAAGCCCTGTATTTGCAGACTACTTCAGAAGACAGGAGTCCAAACTCCGTCAGGGCAGAGTCCCCTCTGTCACCCTTGACAGGAGGGTCACTCTAAACCACAGATGTACCCCTAAATCCTTCCCTGCTCCTCTCACCTCGCTCGCCCCGCTACCTGAACTGGAGCTCAAAAACCTGGGCTTGGATGCCAGCTCTGCTGCTTCCTAACTAATGCTCTCGGACAAATGAGGCTACCTCCCTGAGTCTCAGTGACTGCACCTGAAAAATGACCCACTTGAGACTAACATGGGATCATATAGGTAAGGTACCTAGCACCGCTGCTGGTACACGGAAGGGCTTGCTGATTCCATAAGTCACTGCCCTTGTCTGATTGGTGACCCTGTTGGTAATCTGCAGAAAATAATGGGACCTATTGTGTAGTGTTGGCCATCCATTCATTCAACTCCAATTTTTATCAACTATCTGAGGGCCAGGCACCATGCTGGGTGCTGAGGATTTGGTGGTGGAGAAAATAGCTCAATTATCCCCACCTTCATGGGGCTCCCAGGTGCTTCTGGCCAAGCAGACACTAACAACCCTTAGTTCATGTTCCTCGGAAGTTAAGGTACACCAAGCGACTTACCTAAACCCAGGCAGACAAGAAAGGGTGGGTGGATTTCAAAAGCAGGTTTTCTCGCTCCAGAATCTTGCCTTCACTGCCTGTATAGGCAGGCTGATTCTGGGGTATGGAGATGCATGGGAATTCGAGGGGCTGCCTTTGGGAGACAGGAGCGGTGCACCCCAGAGGTGGGCACCTAACTGCTTGGCCGGGCCTAGGCACCTGTGAAAAGGTACACAGAGGACCTGACCAGGGCCATAAACCGGGAGCTTTCCCCTGGCTCTGCGCACCTCCAAGTGATATAGGAGAGAAAGAAAAGAAAGACACACACACACACACACACACACACACCCGGCAAAACCCACCACCAGTCACACGTGCCTGTGGATAGGGGCTTGTCAGCCTTGAATGCAGCCTGACAAACTCAGCCTGAAGTCCCTCTCCCTCCCTGTCTGCTCTCAGGCTTGGGCAACAGCTGGCGCCTCCATCTCTAGAGCATTGCGGGGGCCAAAGCAGTCCCTGGACAGGAAAGGGATGCCGGCCTGCAGATGGCTGCCCCGTCCTGTCCTGACCCAGGGCAGCTGTCTCTCTTCATCTTCTCTCTCCTGCTACTCAGGGACTGGGTGGTCCACCCACTGGCCTTCCTCTCTCCCCCCTCCTCCCCTTGGGAGCTAGCAAAGCCTTTGGGAGGCCAGATAATGGTCTTAAATTTGCTTCCAGCACTTCCTGGCGGTGCGAGTCTGAACGATGTCATGAAGTTCTCTCAGATTCCATTTCCTCTTCTGTAAACTGGAAGGGGTGCGGAGGAAAGAGTAAGCTATCTCACAGATAGCCGATCATGAGGAAAGAGTGAGTTAATCATTGTGAAGGGCTGGGGGCACCGAAGGACTGTCAGTGCTCCTATACTACAGGCCCTGCCCTGAGAGCTGGCCAGTAGGTCCAGTGTGAAAGGGAGCCAGGGGTGAGATGAGCTGGAGACAGTGTGAGGGGCCCCGATCTGCCTTCCTGGGGTCACCACACTGAGGGCGGGGTCTTTTTTCCAAATCCTGACTTACCCACAACCCGGCTCAGGCTCCCTGCCCTCATGCCTGCAGGAAAAAACCTGTAGGTCCCCATGCCCCACCAGGACTCCCGAGTGCCAGCTTTCCCTAACTGTTCCCCATTCCCTGTGCTCTGGTCCAGACTTCCTGGACACAAGGCCTTCCTAGGACACCTCTCCCCAAGGTGGAGACCGGTAGTGCCTGGGGGCGGGGGAGGGTAAGAGGGGGTTCAGAGGCTCCATCCCCCTGAGCTACGGTTTCCTCCGTTTTCAAACGGAGACAATGCTAAAAGAGACCTCTCAAGATCAAAGGCGGGGAGGGCGGGGAGTAATATTCCAGCACCGGAGAACTGAAGAAGCACACAGTCCTCTGGACTCCTGACTTCGGAGGCCCTGGTCTCACCCCGCCCCTTAGACCTGGGGACCAGAGGGAAGACAGGAGATCAATGGCAGAGCGGGTGAGGGGGCGGTGGTCGGCGCAGAAAAGAAGGAAATCGAGTCGAGGGGTGGGGGAGAAGCCGAGGGCGGGTGACTGGGGCCCCACGCCTCGGAGGAAGGAGGGCTAGGGTGACCTAGGTGGTTCTCGCGTTCCCTCCTTCTCCCCTCCGGCTTTCTCGGCCCCGGAGAGCTGCT